CACAGAACCTGGTCTACAGCAGTTTTAAGCATTCTGTGGGTTCCTAGACAAAGCAAGACATCTGGTCAGGCATTGATCGGGTTATTTTGTTGTTGTGATGATTTCGCAGGAGAACGCGGTGGAGGTTGTTTTGATTTCAGAACAATTCCATCATAACTGATGCTTGTCAGATCTGATTTTTAACCTGCTGATTCTGACTGAGTGCACCCTTTAAGGGGGTGAGGAGCTCAGTTACCCGGGAGGAGCTCGGAGGAGAGTCGCTGCTCCTCCACGTCGAAAAGAGCCAGCTGAGGTGGCTCACTGGAAAAACGAAAATTAACTTGGAGGCGCTGAAACCTTTAACATAAATAAATGGACAGAAACAGATGAATTCCTTAAATGTCATTAATTAAGGATTAAATATAAACAATAATTAAAAAAAATATATATATACTCTAAAGAGATTACAAAGATCAGGTGAAACAAGTCAATACACTGGAAAAATTATCTAGAAATAAGTAAAGATTTCTTAAATTTAGTGTAATTATCCTTAATTCGAGTAGCTAAATGAGAAAGTTTGCTAATGGGATGAGTATTTTTACTCTTAAAATATGTTAATTAGATAACATGCACTTGAAACAAGACAATGCAATTGTGTTTTCTAATTTTAAGTGTAAATTGTCTTGTTCCATTGGTAAAATGTCTCTTTTACCTCCTCAATCCAAGAACAAATGCACTTATTTTAAGAAAAAATGACTTATCTAGATTGAGATTTTTTCCAGTATGGATGCCTCCTGGTCGCCTCCCTCAGGAGGTGTTCTAGGCATGTCCCATTAGAAGGAGGCCTTATGGAACACACTAGAGGGACTATGTCTCTGAGCTGGCCTGGTGTCGCCTCAGGGTTCCCCCCAGAGCAGCTGGAGGAGGTTTGTGTGGATCAGGAAGTCTGGGCTTCTCTGCTTAGACCAGTGTTTTTCAACCCTGGTCCTCAAAGCACAGGGTTGCATATGTTCGGATGTTTCTGAGCTTTGGCACACCTGATTCAGATGATTGCAGTTCAGCAAAGCCTGATAATCTGCTATCAATTGATAACAGGTGTGTGAAAGCTGGGAAACATCCAAAACATGCAGGGCAGGGTGCCTGGCTTAGACTGCTGCCTCCGCAACCGAGCCCCGGATAAGCAGAAGACAATGGATGGATGGATTCTAACTTGATCTAACTTAAGGTTAGATCCGGGTTCCTCTCGTTCACCTCATAATTCCCTAAATTCTCCTCATGTTTTAAGCAGAGGTTAACAGAACCGGACAAATAGATTGTTTTGCGTTTGAGATACCAACCTCAGTGCGTCTCCCCTCTGGCTCCACCTGAAGCCTGAGGATCTGCTGGGTTCTGCTTCCATGTTCTGGACAGGAGGACAAATCAGACACAAGATGAGACCCAGGAGTTCAAAATAAAGATTTGGAGCAGACGCTGCTCTGCTGGGTTCTGCTGGTAGGTTGAATCCTTCGCCGGTCTAAAGATCCATGTTTGTTCCTGAGTCGTTCTCTTTGCTCCCCTCCTGCGTGGTGATGCTCTGAGCAGCTGCAGGTCCTCGTTTTCCACCCAGTCATGCGATGTGACCCAGGGCAAGGTGATGCCGGTTGCCGTGGAAACCGTTGTTTAGCTGCCTCTGCGGGCATGACTCTGCAGTTTGGCAGTAGAATGAGTTTGGTTCAGAGATTAAAAGGAGCTTTAATCATGAGGATGAACGAGGCCGAGGCTGGAGGAGGATTACCGGGAGAATCCAGAGAATTTAGGAGACGATCTGTGGTGGAAACCTCGTGTTCCATCTCTTCTGCACAGGCTTTCTGAAGGTCAAGAACCAAAATAAACACACGTAAACACGTCAATGCTACTTTATAGTTGTAGCCTCAGTGAAAAAGAGATGAAGACATCGCTGGTTTATTTAACTAGGCCAAGATCTGACTGACGGCACCAGAATGAAAATGAGTCCAAAGCAACGCCTCTGCAGAAAGCTAAGCTAGTTTTCTGAATCAAGCAGCAGAGGGAAACTCTTGATTAAAATCACACTTTTCTCAGCTGATTTCTGCTCTGATAGACAGAAACTTTAACCCGAATGGCTTAAAGTTAAATTATTTAACTAATTATTTAACTAAATTAAGTTAATCCGCTCTCCTGGTTCTGATGAAGGCCTAGAAAAAGCCTGCCTGCTGCTGCATGAGTGACTCAGCAGAAACTCTCCCAGAGACTTGCCTTTCATTTTGCTCATTTCTAATTATGTTTACCGGTTAACATCCTGTTGCATCACCTGGTTCACATGGACGTTTTCCTCAGCATGAAATAAAATAAGCTTTTTTTATCCTAATTTATAGAAACAAATCTGCAGTTCCTCTGCAGAGCCACAAGGTGTCACCGTTTAACAGAAGAAAGCAGATCATCTTCCTGCTGCCCTGTGGCTGCCTCTGATTGGCCGACGGCTCAGTTTGTCAGATGAATTTGCTCCAATCTGTGGAGCTGCTGCTTTATCTGCTCACCTGTCAGATTGGGTCTGTGTTAAAGCTGAAGCTGCTCCTCGCTGATGGGAAAGGATTTCACCTTATAGACCTGTTTCTGTTAGAAGGAAAGCTTTAAATGCTTTCAAAATAATCTTTAAAAAAATGCCAAAACACGTTCATTTCATAACTGATCTAATTGAGTCAAAATTATACTGACTTTAAGGACATTAGTGGTTTTTATGACAGATTAACGTCACAGGTTATTGATCAAATACTCACATTGGAGGGTTTTTAATTCACCCATCCAGCTGTGGATGGTTCCCAGGACCTTTACTGAAGACTAGAGGCCCTCAGCATCATAGACCCTCCACCATACCTGCCAGTTGATTGGAAACAACATCTTCTAGAACCAAAGGGGGTCCGATTATCTGTAGAGTAAGATGGTAGAACAGAAAAGGCTTTTTTCCACGACATTTACACGATTAATGATGTCATCTGACGAATGTTTTGATTGGTTCCTGTTGTTTGAGTTCTTTTCTGATGCTTTCTCTAAATCAGGGTTGTTTTTCACTGTTTTCATCTTTATTATGCAGATTTTATGACTTCAGAGGGTGGAGTCATTCCTCTGAGCCATTTTAGATTGAAAATATGCCCAGAAAGCTGCCATATTTCAATTACTGCTTTGTTTACTCCTTTTTTATTCATAATTCATCCTCAGACACAGATGTGGCACCAGTTTCCCAGAGCAAAAAACCTTAGGATGCAGTTTCCTGAGAGATAATGATGGACAGTCTGCTGAATGCAGATCAATTCAGACACTTAATGCAAAAAGCCTCCAATCCTTCACTCCCTGCACATTATTCTAATGATGCTTTAATTGATAGCACTCAGAGGGAGGAATATTTCTCCTCAGATTGATGGTTTTCCAGTGTGTCGTTCAGGGAAGCTTTTGGGTCAAGTGTGTGTTTGTGGCACAGAGAGCTGTTCCCTAACAGCTGAGAGAGAGAGAGAGAGAGAGAGAGAGAGAGAGGATTGAGGAGGAAGCGGATTGGTGGAGGAGGAGAGCCAAGGATGGGAGGGGTTGGCTGGTGAGAGATCGAGCAGAGGAGAGGAAAGCTGCAGCAGCCAGGAGATAAAAGCTTTTTCTCCCGTTCTGCTGGCGCCTGCGAGCCGCGGATAAAGCCCAGCTCTGCAGCCGCCGGAGGGAGCAGCAGATCCGGGCTTCCTGCCGTCGGATCAGCAGGCCTCGCACCGCAGCCGGAGCGGGAAAAAGATCCCGTCTCTCAGCTGATCAGAGGGACCGCCCAGCGTTGCAGGACGCTTGGTGCTGCTCCAGCTTCCAGCGTATCAATCAGACCAGCCCGGTTCTGCTCTGCTCCCAAGGTTTGCTTTCAGCCGGGGACGCCTCCCGTCTTTGTTTCTGAAGGGATGCTGCATTTTAATCCTCTCTGCGGTTCTGTGTGATGCTCGGGACTATCCTTCACTGGACACTGAATCCCTTTGGCTCTGCTCCAGATTCACAGCACATCTGCACAAGAAATGGGTCTGGTTCTGGAACTTGAAGTCCTCCCAGAACTGCTTCCTGCTCCCCAGCTGTAGAGTCCAGACGCTAAACCCAGAGGCCTGCTCCTCATTAGGAAACGGCAGACTTAAGGAGGAACTGTTGATGTGTTTGGCTTCCTGAACCAAGTCCTGCAAACTCTGGGTCTGTCCAGCTGTTGCGTCATCGCACTGCACCACCTGATGAGGACGAAGGGTTCCCAAGATCTCTAAGGGTTCCTGCAAAACGACAACCTGAAACCTCAGTGATTGATGCAGAGGTGGGGGGCAGAAGGTTTGCTTTCATCCTGCTCATCCTGACAGTTTTTCTAAATGACTCCACAATAAAGATAAAACTGTCAGAGGTTCTGATCCCAACAGGAAGACCCGCCTAAACGGTCCGGATTAAGGAGGCTGGAAGCTCAATAAGCCGTCAGAGCACTGGCTGGATTTCCCTGCAATCTGTTGCAGCATTGGCTGACGGCTCACTCTGTCACACATCCGCACAGAGCTTCCCGTTACTTTTCCCTTCCATCGGGAACACCGTGGGAAAACTCTGGATACCGATCCCACTCCTCCTGTGCTGCATGAAGCGTGGCCCAGCCATCAATCATCCATGAGCTCAGATGGAGCTCTTTAACCTGAAAGCAAATCCCAGCATCCCTTGGTTCTGGTTCTGTTGATCGGAATGAATCAGGAACGGATCGGGAGGTTTTTCTCCCTCTGGGATGTAGCCGACATCATTTTATATGTTTGGAGTACGATGAGGCTGTAGAACTTTTTTTTATTTGTTTATCTGCCCTCACATGGAGAAAATTACCAATGGGCTGAAAACAACTCTTGATGTCCAGCATGTTGCCTTAATCCAGATCGCTGTTAAATCCGGGTCCTGATGGGACTGGATGGTTTTAATCCAGAATAATCTGCCCTTTCACTGAAACGGCTGAAGCATACAGGTTTCTGCAGAAACTCCCTCCTGCAGGTTTATCCTCCCATCTTTTCCTCCTCCTGAGTCATGGGGAACTCCATGGGTTGCGTTCGGCCTCTTCGTGAGGCCGATCCGGACGCAGCACCCACTCTTTCACCGAAGAAGCGTCTGCGTTTCAGACGGAAGCAGAAGGGAAACAAGAACCGGAGAGCGGAGGAAGAAAAAGCGGACCAGCAGCGACTGCGATGCTCTGAGCCCGAAGAGGATGATCCGGAGAAAAGACCAGAGTGTTCAGACCACAGCAGATCCGGGCCAGAATCTCGCTTAGGTCACCTCAGAGCCGACCCACACAGTAGCACCCTGTCCCCTGCCTCTGCTGGGGGGCTGCTGAGCAGCAGAAAGCTGGAGTCGACCCCCAAACCCAGCCCGGCCTGGAGAGGGGTCTTCTGCCTTCCCGGGGAGGAGGACACCATCAGTGCCATCATCGACGTCTCCAGCCTGCCGAGCCAAACCGCCGCCACCACCCCGGTCAACGCCGCGCCGGCCCTGGGCAGAACCACGCCAGGCGGGGGCAGGGTCTGCCTGGTTCGGGAGAAAGTTCAGGGGGTTATAGAAAAGCCCTGGATCCAGAAGAGGAAGGAGGAGACGGACAAAGTGAACAAGGAAGGAAACGGGAGCAAGGCGGCGGCGGGTAGAGCTCCTGTGAAGGAGCGTAAAGGTGTAGTCCACATCCGAGAGGTGGACGGGAAGCTCTGCGTGGTGAGGACGGTCTACCCCAACGATCTGGGCTCCCCGCTCCGCAAAGACGAAGATGAGGTGGAAGTTCACAAAGAGCCTCCCGCACCATCACCCGTCACTGGGAATATTCTGAAAGTCCAGCTGGTGGAGGACGGAGACGAAAACAAATCAACCGGTGGGTCCCCCACCTCCTCCAAGGAGCTCCAGGACACCATGAAGGCCTTCAGGCTGGAGCCGCAGGGGAAGTCGTCTCTGTTTGAGTCGGGTTACTCCAGCGATCTCCCTCCCACCTCCCCAGAAACAGCTGGTACCACTCCCAGTCAGACGGACTGGGGAGGCCTGACCAGCAGCTCGTCCGAGAAACTGGACTCCACCATGGAGAGTCCGCTGGCGCCGGAGAAGCAGGTGGTTTCCAAACCCCTGCCTCAGGTTGGTGTCCTTCAGAGTTAACCAAACCACAGGATCAGAAACCGTCCAACACGTCCGGAACAGAAAACCATGTTGGTCTCAAACCTAAAAGCAGAATCTGTAAGAAAACTAAGTAATAAATTTGGGTTTTTAGTGGTTCTGGAGGCACAGAAATGAAGTTTTAAGGGGCAAATTCAGGTTTAATCTTATTTACTTAAAACATTAAGTTACTTAGTAATAAGAACAGGATGGGTTCAAATAAATACTGTTTAAACAGATTAGTTTGAACCGTCTTTGAAGTAGAAATCATAGGATATATTTAGTCCTGTTTACTTTGAAATTAAAGAAAAAGTAAAAATTATAATATTCCTGGGATTAGTTTATTTTAAGACCTTCTGTAATCATTTTTATTTCAGTCTGGGTGGGCCAAACAAAATCTATCCAAGAGCCGCAAATGGCCCGTATACCACACTTGGTTCATGGTTACTAACTTAGATTGAAGAGTTTTTATAAAACTTTAAGCCTAAAACTGAAGATTTAAAGGAAAGTCTGTAGAAACAAAGTAGTATATGTATAGGAAAGTTATCTCTTTATTCTAAAGTATAAATGACATAAAATATCTGGTATCTTCTATTTATTTGAAGCTAAATTTGTCATTTCTAATCCCTTAAACTGCTTCTGGAATCATATCAGAGTATAAACTGAAACTCTCCACATCTGGATCCCAGCTGTTTGACGTTAGTCCAGGTTATCTGCTCCAGAACCAGCTTGTGCTCGAATCTGTCCCACTTTCTCTTCTACCTCTATGGTTCCTTTCACAATGTCCAACACCGGTGGAACCAGCCCCATAGCATGATGCCGCCGCCACCATGCCTGACAGGTGGTACAGAGATCTGATAGCTCCAGACATGCAACCTGGATTTGTTTTGTTGGACAGGAACACACCAGGCTCTGATCATTGACCTTGATTCTTGGTTCAGACTCTCTAAGTCCGGCCTGATTTAAAACTAGCCAGCGGCGGCTGGGGGAGTTTTCTCCAAGTCGGGCTATAAATTCGAAATAGACGTATAGCAAAAAACCGATCAAACATACACTACCGTTCAAAAGTTTGGGGTCACATTGAAATGCTCTTATTTTTCAAGGAAAAGCACTGTACTTTTCAATGAAGATAACTTTAAACTAATCTTAACTTTAAAGAAATGCACTCTATACATTGCTAATGTGGTAAATAACTATTCTAGCTGCAAATGTCTGGTTTTAGTTGCAATATCTACATAGATTTAAAGAGGCCCATTTCCAGCAACTATCACTCCAGTGTTCTAATGGTACAATGTGTTTGCTCATTGGCTCAGAAGGCTAATTAATGATTAGAAAACCCTTGTGCAATCATGTTCACACATCTGAAAACAGTTTAGCTCGTTACAGAAGGTACAAAACTGACCTTCCTTTGAGCAGATTGAGTTTCTGGAGCATCACATTTGTGGGGTCAATTAAATGCTGAAATGGCCAGAAAAAGAGAACTTTCATCTGAAACTCAACAGTCTATTCTTGTTCTTAGAAATGAAGGCTATTCCATGCGAGAAATTGCTAAGAAATTGAAGATTTCCTACAACGGTGTGTACTACTCCCTTCAGAGGAAAGCACAAACAGGCTGCTGCGGGTACAATTTAACGAAGATGCCAGTTGGGGACCTGTGAGGCGTCTGTTTCTCAAACTAGAGACTCTAATGTACTTATCTTCTTGCTCAGTTGTGCAACGCGGCCTCCCACTTCTTTTTCTACTCCTGTTTGTGGAAATGAGCCTCTATACACCTATGTAGACATTGCACCAAAAACCAGACATTTGCAGCTAGAATAGTCATTTACCACGTTAGCAATGTATGGAGTGTATTTCTTTAAAGTTAAGATTAGTTTAAAGTTATCTTCATTGAAAAGTACAGTGCTTTTCTTTCAAAAATAAGAGCATTTCAATGTGAGCCCAAACTTTTGAACAGTAGTGTATACCAGGTTATCACACCAGTATATTTACATGAATGCCTACAACACCCTGACCTCTGCTATACCTTTGTAATGCAGAGAAGCTACTGTGCATGTACAACTTTTAACGAGAGTCAATGGCAAAAGATTTTGGCGCCCTGGAGCGGGAAATACGTCACCAATCCGACGAAATATGGAATGACGCTTAACTAGTTATTTAAGATTAAATATCTATCCTGCACATCTAAAAATATATATTAATACATTTTGAAATATTTAAAATGATGTCTTAATCAGGGTAATTGGGTGGATGGGGTGGCGCCTTGGTGCCCTCTATAGGCCAGCCGCCACTGAAACTAGCCCCACTGTAGGAAGATGTTCTGGTTTTGGAGAGGCTGATGTCCCACTTGTTGGGTCTGATGTGGTTTTTGATCATCTGGATCTATTTTATCTCCTCTAAGGAGGGCGGTTTGGGTCGGATGTGACTAAGGGTGGTTTGGTTCTGTTAAAACTGTTTGTCGTATTTTATTTACCATTGGATAAAAACAGTTTAAAGAAACACTTAAATCCTCAAATTCTTAATCACAGGATGGATGGATGACATTTCCTGTAGATTAACAGGACAGATCAAAGGAGCATCAGGCTCAACATCAACAGTTGGATTAATCGGCACCAAGACAAGGTTTCTACCGACACTAATCGCCACAGGAACATTCCTGATCTGATTATCTGAACCTGACCACAGTAAAGAGGAATAATCCGGTTCCTGACCCGCTGCTCTGTTGTGCTGGGGGGGGCTTTTCTTTGACTGTTTTGTTTGCGGTTCCTTTGCTGTCATGAGTGCAGCACGTCTCAGTGGCAGTCATGGGGTGTTTTTGCTCTTATCGGATCACAATTGTTGCACCCTGTGCATACAAAATGACAAATAAAGAAGTCTAAGTCAAAGACATTAATTTTCTCTCGCTTCTTTCCGGCTTTGTTCTCTGGGCCTAATCAAAGTGGCCCAGCCTGTCCCTCCACCTCCCCATGAAAACCCACTGCTGACGTCTGACGGGCAGAGAGGAGGGTTGGTTGAGTGTTTAGGCAAAAGGTCAGTGGCTGTAATGACAGGGACCACATTCCCCTTCAAAACTGAAGCTGCTTATTTACTGCAAATTAAACAAATGGCAGGAAAAGGTCATTTAAAGAAGAAATGAGCAGAGCGGTGACATCAGCTTCAACTTAGCTGAGTCGGATCAAAAGTGCACGTTTTTAAACCGGATGTTTTTTTTCTGTTGAATGAAGCTTCAGGTTGTTTCAGCACACAATTATAAACTTTCAAAATGCATCAGTTTCACTTTTCCTTTTAGCTTAAAACATGGAGGACGTTTGCAGCAGGAGGTTGAGGTTAAAACGGCAACAGGCAAAGTGAAAATGATGGATGACGATGCAGAAACCATGCAGAATGACGTCATGCCCTCAGTGCAGAGAGGAAAAAAACTTTCAGAGCTGCAAACGTTGTGTGACAATATTTCCTGTTGATTAATTGTTTTTAAGAAGCGACATTTTATTTTAGTATCCAAAAAAACAAACCTTTTTTTGAAAGAAAAAAAAAACTTTTTCGTTGAAGTTTTGATATTTGTGGAAAGTCATGTAGAAAAATAACTTTTTTAACCAGCTGAGAAGGAAACATTTATTTAGAGCACTTTAAAATTTGGCTTTTGTTTTTAAATTAATGCGACATTTTTATATATCTACATGTAAAAACATTATTAAATTCTTTATAATGTTTAGCCAAGGAGCTGCTCACATCCATCAAGCCTCTTGAATCCTTACAGATTTAAATATAAAATCTACGGAAGAGGATTAGGGCCACAAAAAAAAAAAAAGTTAACTGATTTTTAAATTTTATTTCAGTTTAATATGGGAAAAAAGTCAGAATTCTGACTTTTTTCTCAGAATTCGGACTTTAATCTCAGAATTCGGACATTAATCTCTGAGAATTCTAAGAAAAAAGTCAGAATTGTGAGAAAAAAGTCAGAATTCTGAGAAAAAAAGTCAGAATTTTGAGAAAAAAGTCAGAATTTTGAGAAAAAAGTCAGAATTCTGAGAAAAAAGTCAGAATTCTGAGAAAAAAGTCAGAATTCTGAGAAAAAAGTCTAAATTCTGACTTTTTTTTCAAAACAACCGCGCCTGGCTTGACGGAGAAACCAGGAGAACAGCTGTGCATATTTACGACAGTGCACTTTTACTTTCGCCCTCTGGGGGAAGCCTCGCTGGAAAATCAACACCGGTTGCATCGTGTACCTTTAAAGTCGGAATTCTGAGATCAAAGTCAGAATTTTGAGGAAAAAGACAGAATTCTGACTTTTTTCCCCATACTAAACTGAAATAAAATTTAAAAATCAGTTAACTTTTTTTTTTCCCAGTGGCCCTAATCCTCTTCCGTAAAAATCAGTGTTAGTCATGTTAGATATTATTTGTACCTTTCTGTGTAATCAGTAGAAACATATTTAATGCTGTTACATCATTAAAACCCTTCTGCTGCTGAGCAGGTCTTAAAGTTTTACTTTGGTGTTTGGATGATTTATCTTCGATTAGCTCCAGGTTCCTCTGGTTGGAAGGCCTCCGTTCCATCACCCTAATCTTTATAAAACCTCCTCGGATTGTTGTCGATAAAAGTCTGGGCTTTAACACGACCGCTTCAGGATGATACTTGTGCTTTTAGTCCATCAACACCTTTGTTTATAGATGCTGGAGATGGGCCTGTTTCCAGTGTAGTCCTGTTTCTCTGACCGTGACTGGCTGGATGTGCTCTCTTCATCCTCTGGCATGGGACAGGCTTGGAGCTCGTCTGCCTGGCTGTGTGTTTCCTGGACAGGGTCGCCTTTTGCAGTTGCTTTTTGTATCTCTGCTTCTGTCTCCTTGAACCCCAGTGGGCCTCAGCAGATGGCCGCTCACACTGAGCCTGGTTCTGCTGGAGGTTTCTTCCTGTTCAAAGGGAGTTTTTACTCTCCACTGTCGCTACAAGCATGCTTAGGATGAGGGATTATATTTGAGTCAATG